ATTTTAGGTTCTGAATGCAGCAAGGAATGTGTTGGTCCAACAGCTGCGAAATCATAAATTATGTTTGTAAACTACTTTTTTCAGTATTTATTTATTTATTTATTATTATTATTTATTTCGGAATTTTACCGAATATTTACTATTTCTGATGGTAAAAAAAGATGGATGTATTTCACACGTGATTGCAGCCACTGTTGTTGGTGTAAAGTTGGGAAGGTAGGATATAGGCGGGAGTTTAATGTATATCTGTAAGCAACTATAAACCATTGCTAATGAAAAAACGATTCTTAGTGGAGTTCAGTTGATAAAGTTTCTTTTTGAATAATATATGTATGCCATATTATGGTAAATTATTATAAAATGTACGTTTCCATGACAAAAATGATTGTTTAAAAAAGATTAAGATAATAAAAACTTAATGATAACAAAATATAAGCAAAAATGGTTGTCAATGACAACCTTATTTTTAATCTTTCAATCTTTTTTAACCTAATGAACCAGGTTTTCCTCATTATCTCGAATATTAATGGGAATTTCAAAAATTAACCACTTTAAGGTACCACCCAGAGAACATTTCCTTTCAGAAAAGATGCTATACTTGATAATCAGAGTATGCTTTCTGGTAGAAAAAGAGTTCACATAAAAAAAAAAAATACATAAACATTTTGTAAAACAAATTCATTTTTCACTCAGAATCTAAAATTAAAAACAATGAATTTGGTAATGCCACGTCATAGCGTCGTATATATTTGCTGTTTTACCTATAATTTTGTTTCCGGTTTTTTTAATAATTTTAAAAATCAAAATAATCACCAACTACATAAAATTTCCTTTCAGAAAATAGCAAGTTGTTTTGAAAAGTAATGTACAAATAGAAAAAAAAAAAACACAAACCATATATTGAAACCAATAGATCCTTTTCTTCGTTCCGCTATCTAAAAACAAGTATAGTTTAGTATGGTTAAAATTTTAATGAAATTCAAACATATTATTTGTATCATTCCGTACGCTAATTTCTTAAAAATTAGTTGAGATACTCATTTCCCCTGTGCCCTTCCCCCAAGTCAAGGACTGGATATATAAGTATAGTGTATTAGTGAACGGTTCAGTGTTAAACACATATATATTGAATACTCGCAGTATGACCGAAATTGTTTGACGATGCCGTTTGCGAAACTAAATCAAATATTATAATTTATTGAATTCTCGATTCGAATATATTGATATGCGTACTGAAACATTTGACAATTTTGTGGTTTTTAACTAGACACAGTTTTAGTCGGTGCGAAAAACAGGTACGGTCTGCTGAAATGTCGCGGTGAGACGGTGGACGGTGGTGGACAGTCTCCTCATTCACGTAAAACACTAGACGGCGAGTGACTAAAATTACGTTTTAGCTGTCGATCGAAAAACGTATCTACGGAACAGTATATTGGTCCATTATATTCAGAAATCCGTACTTGCGTTTTGCTTTTCCAACCACCTCCACCTCCAAAAATAAAATCATTGCGGTCTCATAACAGCCAATCGCAACGCGTCACCGTCGGGAGGTCCGGCTTAACTCGCCCACGTGTCAATTATTATTCCCGCATTCATTCGTATAAATCGATCGCGTTTCTTTCCAATATTGTATGGTAATAATAACTATACTAGATCAGCGCCGCAGCAATAAGAATTCGGCGGAGTTAAGTGCGGGTCGAACTTTGGAGTTTCTGTTACTCATAAAAGTTCGGTCTGTTGCAGAGCACTCGCATACAATAGGCAAGTAGGCGTCTTTTGGGGCGCGGTGCACCCTAAGCAGCACAGCCAGTTGCGGCACCGAACTAGGCGTAATAGTTGACGACTATAAGCAGTCGTGGTGGTGTTATACTCTTAAACGGCTAGGTACGTCAGTGGAATTTCGGTTCACCTATGTTGTTCGACACATTGACGAGGGAACGACGATCGCCGCGTTACGAAATAATTACGTCCCGACGACCGCCAATCGGGGTGAAACTTGTCGACAAACTTCACATTTCCCGGACCGAGCGTTTCCACGTCCCGGAATAAACTGTAAATATTATTATACCGTACGTAAAAAATGTTATTATGAAAACGTGCATACGTACGAGTGCCGAAAATACGTACGTGTGCATCGGCGGTGTCGGAGGAGGAGGTACGTCCGCACGGCTAAACCCTACCAGTGGGAAATGCCGTCGTCAAGAAATTGGACGGTGTAATAATAACATTCGATTGCCACACACACACACACACACACACACACATACACACACACTGTAAGTGCGTATACAAAACACCTAATATACCACACACTTGCGCACACGCACACGTACGCCGACCAAGGTTATCAATATTATTATCGTCTATAATGTATGTATTAAACATGAAGATCCGTAATGGCTCGTCCGCGATGAAAAAGAAGAAAAAAAAAAAAAAAAAAAAAAAAACAACGAATATTATTCATCGTGTATCTACGTATTATGGTTTTCGTGTAAATAATACTACGACGACGACGGCGTTTTCTATTATATTATATTATTATTATCGTCGCCGCCGCTGCTCGCGGTCGTCGACAATGCCACCGCCGGTGCAGTGGTGTGTCCGAGATACGACGACCGCTTTTTTTTTTACTGAACGCCGAAAAACGAATCGAAACTGCGACGCCGACTACGAAATTACCCATACGTTTTCTACCAGCGTATTACATAATAGTTAATACAATAATAATAGTAATAATATTGTATTGTTAAAGTAACGTGACGGTATTTTACAGGAACGCAAGCTAAATCAGAAAAATATTCCACAGGAAAAATGAATACAGAAACGATAAACACTAAGAGATTCAGATCAGTTTTAGAACCTCTGTTCGTTTCGTATTTATTGAGAAAATCTCGTAGTTGCCGATTTTGTACATAACCAATAGGATCAGAGGTCTTGTCGAAGACTTCCGAAGGAAGAGATTGGTAGGTATTATATGCTCGGGAAGGACACGATTGCGTGCTTTTAGTCCGTAAATCTTCTTTCTCTCTTACTTTTTGAGTATACAATAAACACGTATTCGGGATCGATTTTCGGGATAGGGGGGAGTTAAGATATTTTTGATACACGAACTTGTAGTAATTTTTTGTTATATAATTTAGAGGTTCAACCCCTCCCCCCTGTGTACGGCCTTGGTATACAATCAACAAAGAATAATTATTGTCGCCTGTATTATTTACAATATGAAACGAATGACAAGAAACCAAATTGAATTTCTTAGTTTTTATCCATTCTGCGATTTTTCGTTTTTAAAATCCATCCTGATTGTTTGAATTCCTGTAAAATATCGTTCCCGTAATTTTTTTATTCCTGGCCATTTTTAACTCTGATATTTACGCGCTTCCCGTTATCACCGACGCGACAACCGTAACCAGAGCTGAGCGTGATTGTAGACTCAGGCCAAGAGCCTCGTCTTGGAAAAGGGCGCGAAATCCGTAATTTATAACAGATTATTGATATTATATAACAGCGGATATTTAAATATTTTTGCATAATTTTAATGGTCGATCACAAAAAAAAAAAAAAAAAATAATAATAGCTATTTTATGTCAAAATGCGTTTTACGACCTAACAGTAACAGTTCATATAATACGCAATTTATTTGTTGCATATTTTGAAGGTTTTGGATTTTTTTTTTTTTTTTTCTGGGTCTATTTTAAAGATTTTATATGCGTTTAGGATATTTCTAATCGAACGAATCGTGAACCACTTTATTTTTATACTTTTACCAATTATTCAAGTTCTATAAATATTTGTTTAATTTATCAATTTATAAACTATTTTACACGGTTTCGTATACGCTTACCGGTTGGTCGAAAGAATATCTTCATATTAGTCTTACACCGAAATGTGTTTCATGGCCTACAAACAAACAGCGACAGTTCCGTATTACGTAACGTTTTTTGTACGTACATTCTTGAGTTTTTCGCAGATCTCGAAAGGGCGCGTTTTCGGAGTTTTCGTAAAATCTCGACGCGGTTTTACAATTACTACTATTGCGTTTTTCCTTTTCGTAGCCGGTTTCGTTCGGTTTTCAGTGCACGTCTCGGTGCCGTTACGCGTGTCGGGGGGGCAAGAGCAGCGAACATCGCGGAAAAGCCCGCAGTTACGGTTACGGGGCTGCGGCGGCAGCGACAGCGCGCGCGGGAAGCAAATAAAACGGGCGCGCGGCTCCGGGACCGGCGACGGCGTTACCGCCCCCCCCTTCCCCCCCGCGTGTCCGCAAGAGCGTTTCGGTTCCTTTTAAGCGCCGCGAAAATGCCGCGACGCCTCAACGGGACCCCCCCCCCCGCCACCGGCGCGTTGACACGGAACCGACGGAGCGCCGCGGATGACCGTCGCGCGCGCGACAACGTTATCGCCGTTGTTGCCGCCGTCTACGCACGTCGTTGCGGTGATTCGCATGACGCCGCGCACGGACGGGCTCGCGCGGCCGCACCTCGGCTCGGCTCGTCCACCAAGCGCAGTGCGCGTATTGCGCGCGCGTTCTTATCGGTTAGCGCGTTTCGATGTCGTTCCGATCGAAACCGAACCGCGCGGGTTTTTCGGCCACCGCGTTCACGACCAAAACGATCGGCCCACCGGAATCGATCGTTTAAATACCAATGTTCCATACTGTTGTCCCGTGTTGGACGAATTGCCAAAATCACTCTACTGTAAAACGTGCGAATCCGCGACTTGCCTCCGCCGGGTGTTACGGATAGACGGCCGTACGGGCAAAACGCCTTTTCGATCGGAACAAAGCTCAACCGGACGGGCGCGAAAAACAATTCTGAGCGGAGTTGAACGATTTGTCGATAGGTTTGATCCGAACGTGTTATTATTAGCCCGTGTTACGCTCCGCTATACAAAATAAACTACAATTTATATTCGCGGTTTTAATGAATATTTTACCATATATTCGAACATTAAATGTTTATAAAAATAAATAACGAGGTACTCAACTTGATTTTGTTATTTTAGATTCTGAGTGGAGCGAATAAGTTTATGATTTTACAATGATGTTTATTTTTTTATCCGTGAACAAATTTTCTACCAGAAATATTACTCCGATTTACAAGTGTAGCACTTTTTCCGAAATGAAATGTGACATAAGAGGTACTTTATTGAAGTCGTTTTATTGATTTTCTCACGAGTTTTCTCAATATATTGGAAAAATCGGAAAAAAAAACCGAGGAAAAACGGGAGGACGGCAAAAAAGGTACAATATCAATTAAATATTATTAGTAAGTAAATGTTTAATGTATGTGTAATTATTTCACCATAATATAAAGCAATCGATTTAAAAATTAATATCTTATGTTAATAAATTTTAGATAATAAATATTAACCAAATAATTTATATTTATGTCTAAATAATCACTCATTTTCAATAATCTATCGTAATAAAATAAATTATTCCTATGTAAAACGACCAATTTCTATAATATTCGTCTATGATGTATTCCTTCATTTAATTTTTTATATTCAGTCGCGTTTTACATTTTGATTATGATATACCTGATAATGAATTTTTAATTCGAAACCGGTCGTATAATACACTTATCATAATACTTCAAGCGATGTACTCATGCATTTATTTATTTTTTATTTCTATACGTACATTTTTAGATTCTAAGTGGGGCGAGGAATGTATTTGTTTTACATTGTTTATTTTTATTTTTTATTTTATTTTATGCGAACACTTTTTTTTTATCAGAAAGCATACTCCGATTATCAAGTATAACACCTTTTCCGAAAGGAAATGTTCTCTAGGTGATACTTTAGAGAGGTCATTTTTGGAATTCTCATTAATATTTGAGATAATGAGGTTCTTTAGTTTAGTAAAGATCGAAAGATTAAAATAAGGTTGTCATTGGCAACTGTTTTTATTTATTTTTTGTTATTATTAAGTTTTTATTATTTTAATCTTTTTTAAACAATCGTTGTTGTCATGGAAATGCACCTTGTTTTGATCATTTTACCATAATACGACATATATATTGTTGACAAAGCAAAACTATTAACCGAACTCCGCTCATAATCGTTTTTCGTTAGCAATGATTAACCGTTGCTTAAAATAAATGCCCGTCTGTATCCTACCTTCCCATCTTTTTACCTATAAAAATGACTGAATTCATGTATGAAGTATTTTCTTCTATTTTTTCTTACTACCAATCAATATAGGTACGTATGACGAACGTAGTACTAAATTTTCGAACATTTTTTTTTTACAAATCGATCCGTACGAGACGAACAAAAAAATACCCAAAAGATTTCGTAAGGAGCTAATGTAAGTATTCGGTGAAAATGTCAAGTATCCGCGATTATTTTCCCCTTAATTATTAATTACAACGGAAACAAAATCGAAATTAACAGAAACTGTGCTGTCGTTTTAATTTTACCGTTTTTCCGAATATTTACCCCGATGTTTTCCCACATTATTAAGAAAAGTTTACAAAGGAAATCAAATATGACCTTCCCCACGCTCCAACAGCTAGACAACATTTTCCAACGGAAACCACCGCCGTTGACGTGGGATGATATTGGACCGAGACTTCTGAACGAACATTAATTGTTTACGGACAAGGACAACAACGAAATAAAAAAAAAAGTTCACACGTCCTAGAAAATCTTCGTTAAACGTGTGCTAAAAAACGTATATTTCTCGAATCGCGGTATACGCAGTCGGCTAAAAATTCAATGTATATTAAATTACCAAGTATATTAAAGCATATTAAATTACTGTAGAGTGACATGTGAAAATATTCAACGAATTTTTATGGAAATAAATGCAAATCAATCGCGATTTTTGCTAGAATAATTTATTGTGAATTTACTTTTAAAGCGCGCGCGCGCGCGCGTGTGTGTGTGTGTGTGTTTTTTTTTTTCTAGAGCTTGCACCGATTTCACACAATACCGAACACGCGCAACACGATAATATTATTGTAATTGTTGCGCGACGGCGATACGGTTTATAATAAATATTCGTCGAGTTATCGAGGTAATTATTTTTAATTCCGTTAGCGACCCGACGCTACCGTTATAGGCGGATACCCATATAGCGTCTCGATCGACGGCTGCAGTCATTATCACCGCGTACCGGCGGTCTCGTAAAAAAGTCACCGTTCGATAATTGTATTTAATTAGACATTTATGTACGCGAATGAAATAGTTTCGTGGAAGATATTTTAACTGCTTCTCAAACGCGCGTCCGAGAACAAGCGAATCGCGTACGAACAAAATTATCCGTAGTCTGTGCGCGTTTAGTAATTCAAAACCAAATATAATTTGTGTTACGGTGTACGTGTATAAGCCCAGCGTTTTGGTATTTGGAATACAGGTGCCTAATTAAAATTAATTACAATACTATCCAATCGCTTGTTCCGTAATACCGGGTGATCCATTCGAGTGGGTACACACTCGTTGTCTCGGCAAGTATTAACGTTTTTCGGAATTCGATTTCGGTCACATTTGAGAATCAAGCAGCTCTGTAATTTCATACGCATGTTAGTGTATACGTATTGGTTGTAAGACCGTGGGCGGAGTATCGTTTGCGCGGCGGTACGGCGCGCGGCGTTTTAACAACGCACTACCCTCATCCAATCCAAACTTAAAAGTGGAATGTCTCATTAACGGACAAATGGAAATCGAAAATGTCAACACTAAAATTTATTTTGACTTTAACACTTCGTTTGTTTACGGACTTTTTAATTCGGGTCGTTCAAATCAAAATCGAAAATAGTTAATGTTTCTAACCTCAAAATTAAGGGTGACAAAAAATAACATATATATAAAATTGCAGAGCAGCTTGTTTCTTAAATGTTCGGGAAAATATTCCGGAAAAAGTTAATACTTTCCGAAATAATGAGCGTGCCCACTTAAATGGATTACCTGGTACTATTAGATACTCGGAAACCGTTTTCCAGAATATTTGTGTAAGTTTTCGACGGGTACCTATTGGATTGACGACAAGAAATTCGATCAGCTATACATGTTCCGTACAGAAATAGAACCGCAGGATAGAAATCCCTGCGAAATACGTCCCCAATAATGAAGTAATTAAAAAACAACCCCAAAATCTAGGAAACGAAACCCCTGCAAAAAAATCCCTTTGTTAACCCTTATTTTCAGAGGGGTGGAGAGAACCATTATCCACTTTTGGTCTTCAACAAGCAAATTTCATTAACGTTAGTATATATATATATATAGTAAGCAGGTCGCAGGGGCGTTCATAGGGTTTATTTTTAGGGGGTTTTCGAGTGAATTTCGCTGACTTCCAAGAACGAAATTTTACAACTGTATACACTGATGACTGGTATTTTATAACATCATAATTATATCTGCCAACTGTTATCAGCTATTGCAATACTTGCCGAGATAATGATAGTGTCTTACGTTATTCTGATCACTATCGCTGCACAATAATAACATAGAAGCGTTTGTCCGCTTCCGACACGTTTTTCGTCGAATAAACAAATACCGGGACACACCAACAATATAATACTATACTAATAATTAATACATTTTCGACGTGGTTTTTTTTTTTTTAATTTAATTTAAATTAACCGTCGAAATCTCATAGTATATATATTTAATTGATTTTTTTTTTTTTTCCCCGAAAAGAATTATACGTATATACTTAACAGTGTTCCCCTATTTCGTTTAAGCGGTCCGTATATTATATTATCATATACGTATACGCTCGGAATTCGAAACACGCGGGGGTTAATAGTCTTTCTGTACGTACATAGGGAATTCACCCGTCCGTACGTATATTTTTTTACCCAACGTCCAATAATTCATTATAATTGATTATATTATACTTAAAGGAGAAAAAAAAAACTATTGAGGACCGGTATATCTAATATAATAATATACAGCGTGTTTATCGTTTTCATCACGAATTCACAACGAATACCGGGCGACCGAAAACACGGATTTATAATATTATTATGCTTTAACGTACCTAACCTATATAATATACCTGTAATATGCCGACGAGCGTAACAGTTTTTTAATTGTATATTTGTTTCCCTCCTGCCGTTTTAACGACCACGGTCACCGCGAAGGCCGAAATCATGTGACTGTAAAAATCGAAATGGCTGGTTTTTTATTTTAAATTTTTTATTATTACATCACTTCGGCACGCGATCGGTAATTATAATAAAAAGTTACGGCGGCGGCGTTCGGTTTCCGAGATAATATACACAGATCCCCCGGCCGATCGTTCCCGCCGTCGTCGACCGCAGCAGAGACCCGTTCTCTTGATATACTCAAGTGTCGTAGAGTAACATTAGAGGCGGCGGCGGCATTTCCGATGTGTACGAAATTCGTGTCTGCGTCAGATACGTATCCTCGGTACCTACCACCTATCTCAGGACGGCAAGGCATAGGTCGATTCTCAACATTTTTCGTTTAGAATTTTTTTCTCGCGCGACTTACCCAGCCCCCTCTCTCCCGTGATCCGAATGGCGTACCTGAATTCTGACACGTAATATACTGAAAACCGTTTGTGTAGTAAGGACCATTTTCTAAGGATACTTATTTATCTAAAATTTGTCATATACGGATTCAGGGTGTAATTGAATGGACTAGTCACCCCATAGGCTAGGGTTGATTTGGCGCTCCCGGCGGGGTTTATGGGGGTCTGCAGGTAAAGGGCATCCATAATTAGTGTCCAAAATAAAGAGGGTGCGATACCCGCATGTGCAGTTTCAGTCTAAATAACAGACAACATAGAAAAATCCATGCGTTGATCTACGCAGATTGAGTAGAAGTTCTACTACGCCCGTGGCGTAACTACGGGCCAACAGACCCCGCGTCACAGGGTCCCACAATAATTCGAAGCCCTCATGTAATACCTATTCCCTAAAATAAACTGAAGTCTGAGAAAAAAAAATATCTAAGTGTTATCTTTTTCAAATTAAATGTATGTCTATAATACATATTAATATATATACATATAATACATATATATATAATAAGCCTTTGACGTACTAGAGCGCTGTATTGAAACCGATGCCAAGCTCGTTTATCAGACTAAGTGCACCTACTGAGTATTGAAAACGAGGGAACATACAGTTTAGATATAAATACGAGATAAATACGAGATAAATACAATCACAGAGATTTAAGTAGTATTAAGTAAACGAAATTGAAAAAAAAAAATTATATACGTCAGTTTAATGT